CCAACCCCTTCTAAATTACATAAAGAACATATTAATACTATTTTGGCCGACATGGTAATTGTTGGATCAAAATCATGTGGCCTCATCTTCCTAATGGAGACGTCATATCACTATCTATTTATACAATTAATACATTGATAAGGGGTCAACCGCTCTATAAAATAGGCTGACATGTTGACAAACTTTTATTACAAGTGTTACATCAATCACTTCACAGAGATCATCGAATCTTCTATATGGAACAGCCTCAGCTACGAGTTTTGGATGAACTGAGAGCCTCGGAGGAGTTTTCGAAGTATTTCTTTAAGTAGAGAACCTTTGCTCCTTTCTTAGCTTCCTTAGGCAGCTTCGTTTTCGAAAAAGTACCTTAGTCTGGACTTCATCATGCAGTGCAAGGACTACTTTTGACTTTCTTGTTGAACAGCCTCAGCGTGTTTGCTTTCTTTGTGTGTTTGATCTCCTAAGTCTTCTTTTGACTTTCTTGTTGATTCTCTACCCACGTGTCGTGTTACATGGCATCATTTCACTGGGTCGTGGAGGCGATAAGGGTGGAAAATAGGTGTAAATAAAATATTTTATAGGGAAAAGATTTGCCTAAAACATGTTTTGCAGGGAAAATGATTTCAAATGTGTTTGATTGATATAATTTTCCACCTGGAAAATTTTTAAATTTTCTATTCGTTTGGCTTTATTTTACATGGAAATTGTCCATTAAAGTGATATTTTTTTCCACAATTGGTTATAANNNCCATTAAAGTGATATTTTTTCCACAATTGGTTATAAAATTTGTTTCCATTGCCAAAAAGTAAAAAAAAAGAGGAAAAAATTGTTTCTTAAAAAATCATTTTTTTCATCAAAGTTTAGTGTTCGTTTGACTTTGTTTTACATGAAAATTGTCCATTAAAGTGAAATTTTTTTTTACCATTAGTTATGACATTTGCACACGTGTGGGGAAAATCCGGAAAATATTTTCTGTGGAAAATTTCGCCTATCAAACAGCCAAAAAAGTGGAAAGTGAAAAATATTTTCCTACTTCACCGAAAAATGTGGCCTATCAAACACAGCCTAACATGTTATGGACGTGCAACGATTTTTTTGTTCTCTCTTCTCTTATCACAAGCCAACAAAACAAAGATTTTGCATCTATTGTGTACAAGTTTGATAAATAAATAAAATTGGAAAATATTTGAGAATTAATTGTTAAGCCCCTGTTTGATCTACATTATTTTTTTTCATTCTTCTACTCATTTTCAACCACACATTTTTCAATAAAATAATATTTTTCATCACATTAATAACCTTTCCTTCTTTTTCAATCATATATTTCAAATCACATCAACAGTAAAAATACATTCTTACTCTCAAAATATACACCAAACAGAGGCTAAGGAAGCACTTAACTGGTAAATTGACTGATGGTTCTATTTTTTGTGCTTTAAAACTGATGATGTGATGGGACCACGAATTATTGTAGTGCGTGTGTGTGTGTTTTTTTTTTTCCAAATTTATAATAAAATATTTTCTAGTATTTTATGATGCATGGACCACGTCATTGGGAATTGTTAGAACATTCTTTGGCCTTTTTGATTGAATATATATAAAACAAAATAATAAATTGTATCGGTTCTTTTCGAAGTAGTCCAAAGTCCAAACTGAGTAAAAGTGGACACAATCTGTTTCGATTTGATTTCGAAGGGAAGTAAATCGAATCGAGTATCAATAAAAATATAAAAAAATGAAACCATTGATTCCATATCCGACTATAGTTCGATATAATTCTTTATATTGAAGAAAAATTTAAAAATAAAGTATGGAACTATGAAAATAGAGTATGAAACCATTTATCATTCTTGTAATATAACAATACAAAAAAATCTATTAAACATGACATCAAACAAAATTTCACCTCAAAATTCAAGATCAATTCATAAAGGCGAAAAAAATGATAAAATTATTAAGGATCATGCTATATGCACCGAATTTTTTTATCGAATCTTTTACATACTACTCACAATAAGAATGTGGATCACATTGTCAAAATTTTTAAATACACGCGGGTCTCGCACATTATGTGAGAGGGAGTAATCCATTATGTACAAACCATTATTTACAAATAGATTAACGAAACTATTAAACACAATATAAACGGTAAAATCTCAATCGAAAATTAATTCTTAAGAAAATTCATATTGCAATAATTATTTTAGTAATTCTAAAGGATAGTGATTCTTAATGGCCGACCACTTTAAAAAAACGATAAATTTGAATTTTTATGAAATATTGAACTAAAAATATATTTTTTCTATTATGTTACATTAAAACTATGAATTTGTAAAATATTTATAAAATTATTTAGACTTAAATTTTGATTACATGTTAAAGGAAAGAAAGAGAAGTGTATGCAAAATAAAATTTTAGTGTAAGATAATTTTGGGGTCTAGTATTTATAGATTTAGTGCATCTTGGTGTAAGTAAAAAGAGAAAATCGGGCGAATCGAATTTATTGTTGGTTCTCAAGGTAGTACCAAGAATCGGGCTGAAATCGATCGATTCTAGATGTAGGGTCCCAAAATCGACCAATTTATAGGGGAATCAGAGTCGAACCAATCGGTTCTATTTGGTTTTGGTCTAATTCCTCAAGTTCCGGAAAAAAATGCCCACTCCTAAAACTTAACCACTGTTTGATAGGGATTAACATTTGTTTTGTAATAGATTTTGATAAAAGTTGATGAAATGTGTGGTTTGAAAAATATGGATCCTATAAAATATATGATTAAAATTAATGATCGATTTCAATTTAGATTAAGTATCTGTTTGGTACACATTAAAATTTTCATTCTCATTTTTCTATTCATTTTTAACCACACATTCTTCAATAAAATAATATTTTCCATTACATCAATAACTTTTTCTTTTTTTTCAACCACATATTTTTCATCAATCTACTATTCCAGAATACATTTTTTCAAAATAATATGGCTCAAACACACCCTAAAGTTTGAATTTTAATCCATACCAAATAGGAGCCTATAGTAGTTCGGTTAATAAGTTGAACTTCTAAAATTGAATAATATTAAAATGTTTAAAATTGAAACCTGTTAATTATATTGCTTTAATCTTGTTTACTATACATCATGTGTATTGAAACTACTTTTTTATGTATGTCAACAACTGTGATTCTTGAGAGGATTTATAACTACATAGAAGACACTCAAAATTTTTATATTTAATTTAATATTGTTTTATTTAGAGATGGTACATTTGGATCATGTCTGGCGAAGCTTTTTTAAGCTTATAAGTTGATCAAATATTTTTTTTTATTCACATGTATCGTAAGATTCACAATTTTTATCGACAGATTTTGCAAGATCTACAACTTATAACCTAAAAAAAATAAATTTGTAATTTGAGTATTTCTATCTAATATACAAACTAAAAACTTTCAATTGCAATTTTATAATTTCCTCTTATTATTCAAAATGATCCAATGTAGATCACATTACCATATTCAACAGATTCACTTAAGCACAAAATATGCATCAAATGTGATTTCATGAATAATGCTATGTGGCCTTGTGCTAACCCACCCATTTAAGTATGACAAACAATTATCTAGACCAATGTAAAACGTGAAAAAATATAAGGAGGTGTCTGGGCGCAATTTTCTGAGCCAAAAAATTGATTTCTTGACTGTTAATAGCAACAAGGGTCCCACCACTGTGAGGAGAATGGCTACATTTGCTGCTGCAACGGTACAAAAAATGCTGAAAATTTTGGGAAAATTTGCTGTCAGACACGCCCTAAGTTTTGAAAACGACATGTACAAATACTAGGAAAAGTGGAAAACTACTTTCTTTGAGGGGTAGTCAAATACTTCTTGGTCTGATCGATATAGATTTTGTGGAAATGTAATTTTTTTTTTTTTTGAAAAAATAAATTTTAAAGAATTCTACCAACATATGCAAGTCTACTGGGAAAAATAACAAAGTGAAAACGGCTAACCTTCATAGCTTGGAAAAGCGAATGAGCGCCAAACCGCTGGGACAGCTGGACGCCTCCACCGTTCGGGCAGCCCCTGCACTGCATCAAGCACGCACACGCTCAAAAAGAACACAAATGATAATTATCTCACACACACTCACGCAGTAATAACGCAAAAAGATTTCTAGAGAGAGGAAAAGTAAAGTACAGTGCAGAGGTGAAAAGTTTGCTGAGTGCCATAAAGAGTGCTCAACAAAATACTGCAAAAGTTTCAACTGCAAAGGAAAAGTAAAGTACAGTGCAGAGGTGAAAAGTTTGCTGAGTGCCATAAAGAGAGCTCAACAAAATAGAGAAATACTGCAAAAGTTTCAACAGCAAAAATTTCAAGCAAATAGAAGTTTTTCACAAAAAATAGTATAGATTTCCTTTTCGAAAGAAAATTATTTTGTTGGGTGTCCGAGTTTTGGAACTGGATCATTTTCTTGATGTTGAATGTTGGAGTTTTTGAGAGAGTAGGGGATAATATTTTCTGGGTTTTCCTTTAAATATTGCCACTAAGTGCAAAATTTTTATTAAACATTCAAGTAAATAGCAAAATTTTTAACAAAACTCGTAAAGATTTTCTTTTTATTACTTATTGGATTATTTTGTTGGTGGGTCTGAGTTTTTGGGATGGGATCATTTCCTTGAGGTGGGATGTTAAGGTTTTCTTTTTAACATACAATAAAATAGCGAAATTTTTCACAAAAATAGGAAAGAATTCATTTTTATTACTTCATTGGAATTTTTTGTTGGTGGGTCTGATTTTTGGGATGGGATCATTTTCTTGAAGTGGAATGTTGGAGTTATTTGCCACAACTTTTTGTGGTTTTTATAAAAATGTCCCATTAAGTGTATTTTCTTTATTTAAAAAAGTGGCATTATCTAATGAGCTGGTGAGTTTATGTAGTTAATCACCCCCCCACACACACACTGACACATATATATACAATTTTTGTATGTATATATGATGATGAAGATGATGGAAAGAGAAGCCATCACACCTCTGATGGTGGTGTTAATACTAGTGGTTAATCCGTTCGGGTTCACTTATGCTAATATGGAAGGTTTGTATTTATTTATTTTATCTGTTCAGTACTAATTAATAAGTTTTCTTTTTTTTTTTGCTTCGTAAAATTCTTTTTTGGGTTTCATAAATTGTTTTGTTATTCAAATTGAGATATTTTAATTGTAAAGTTCTACCTTTACTGTATAGTAAGAACTATATGTTGGATTCTTATTAATCAACTTTATGTGTATTATACAGGGATTTCTGAAGTGGATGAATATTAAAATGCCATGATCAGGCTTCTATTTCCTTGTTAGCAAATATATGCATTTTATGGAATTATTTTATTCATGTGCTTCCTGTGCAATTCGGATGATGCGCACACAAATGGAAACTTTTCTTGCATGAAATTGCGATCTTCGTGTGTTTGCAGATTATCAATGTTCATCACAATTTACTTCAAATTTCTTTTTCTTTGTCATGTTTTTGTTATATACAGATTTTCTCTTGCCAAAATCTACATTAATTATCTTAAGATTGAGCTTTATGGAAAATAATTAATTTTAGTAAATATTTTTTCCCACAATTTGCTGTGTGTCAATAACAGGAAGCACATGTTTTATTAAAAGCCTTGCTCGTGCACGGTTTTCATAAATGAGTGATAACAAGACTTGAACTTGGGATGCTTATCTACGGCGATACTATATTGAACTATCTCATTTATAAGCTTATGCTCTTATATAGGAAACATGTTTATTTACTCAAACAGTATTCTTTATTCATTTTTTACAGCGATCAGTTATGTGTCAATAACAGTAATTGGAATCCTAATTCCTACAGAATGGTTTGATTTGCTATTGGGGCAATCAGTTATGATGTCTCCTTATTAAATTTTTGACATGACATTGTTTTGTATGGCAATGCTGTTACTAGTGGCTCTAAATTTTCGTGTTGCATTTATGGGCAGGTGATGCATTGCATACCCTTAGGGTAAACTTAGAAGATCCTAACAATGTTTTACAGAGTTGGGATCCTACTCTTGTCAACCCTTGCACATGGTTTCATGTCACTTGCAACAACGATAATAGTGTAATAAGAGTGTAAGAATCTGCTACCATGATTTTCTTATGTTCAGGCAACACTTTTGAATTTGATTTGCAATTCACTCCCTGAACTGTGGTACTTATTGTGTTTGCTTGCGTTGGATTCCCCTATCAGTGATCTCGGGAATGCTGCTTTATCTGGACAACTGGTCCCACAACTTGGCCTGTTGAAGAATTTGCAGTACCTGTATGTCATATTTAAATCCTTTTTCTTTTAATCTCAAGCTTTTATGGCAAACACTTTCCTATTTATATGCTTCTGTTACCTAGGTTCTTTTGGAAGTTCAAATCTGTGGCTGATGTTATCTGATAATTGCAAAATCTACCATAAATAAAGCTAGTGACATGTAGGAATATTCTTTGAATTTGAGACAATCAATTATTTAAGTTTCTTTGTTATTCCAGGGGATGTTGAAAGTATTTATTTCAATCAATACTAAAAAAATTTGGACTAACATGTATAAGGAATGCCTAGTTTGAAAGGTTTTCTACGACACTCATGATTTAGAGAATGGCAGGGGGGAGAGTTGAGAGCTTGCAGTTATCAAGTATGAGTATTTCTTGATTTTATGAAATTGATCTTCGTACCTCCCATGTTTAGATTCTTGGGAATTTTCTAGAAGACAAGTACGTACTCACTTCCTAATCTTGTCATATTTGGCTTGGAAATGGTAGGTAAGTAGTTTCTTAAGGGCTTAAAATCACTGCTGGTTACCCTACTTCAAGTGAATTTTCAAATTGGTCAACCAACTACATTTTGTTGCAACTTAGTCACCAATTCAGTTTCTGTTTGATCACTTTGTCCAACTCCTTTTCACTAAGCAACAAATTGCTTAGGTTGAGGACAGAAAAAAGTTGACATGTATCTTTTTCAGCCATTAACATCATCTTGGCATGCCATGTGTATAAAATGCATTTTTACTGATTAAGTTGTTCTATGCTGATGCAACTTGTAAAAGAATATGTTTTCGAAAAAGAATATGTTTTCATCTTCCCCTATCAGAAACCACCGCACATTCTCCATCCCCAGCTTTAAGTCGGGCTTCAACCATTTATTGGATCACAAACTATTGTGGATTAATGCCACTGTTCCATTTATTGGATCACAAAGCAGTATGCTTGCATAACTGGCACTCAAGACGGATATACTCTGCGATGCCCCTTTTTTTACATATTAGCCCAGCTTTAAAAGTTTTTGTGTCCTGATGGTTGTTGTCTCATCTATAAACTTTTTGTGAAATATTCTGGGCTGCTTTCATTTTTTTCCACTCCTTTACCAAAAACACAGTTGATTTTGATAAGCCCCTGATTGGTTTTACTAAAAATCACAATTTTAGTAGATTTTGATAAAAGTTGATAAAATGTGTGGTTGAAAAGTTGTTAATGCCATGAAATTTATGTTGAAATGAGTTTGGGAGAAAATGAGTTATGAGAAATCAGGGCCAAACACAGGCTAAACCTACTACCTGGTATGACATTCTCCGTAAAGATTCCTCGATAACTAATTTAATTTATGTGAAGTTATGATTTCTTTTCCTGTACCCTGAAAATGGTTTTAACTTCAAATTTCCTCTCTTCATAAAATCTCCTTAAATAAATTAACAAATAAGGGCACATTTTAATTAATGTCTTATTTTATTTATGCCAATTAGAACTTTAAATACAGTTTGTTGATAATTAAATCTTTTAGATGGTAGCATCTCCATTCAAGAAAATCTTCAACTTTTACCTACTGATAATTAACACAAGATACAAACTGCTGACTTTGTGCCAATAAACCAACTGTAATTATTGTTTTCTCCTTTATGTGCATGTCTATTACATTTTGAAATGAATTCAAGTATTTTAACACTGATCACACGGGCAAATATACTTGCTAATTGTCGAACTTTCACTTACAGATTGTTTTCTAATTCTGAATTACATAACATTAGTTTGTTCTATTTGTTGTAACAGGGAGCTGTACAGTAATAACTTAAGTGGGCCTATACCCACTGATCTTGGTAATCTGACTAATTTGGTGAGCTTGGATCTGTACTTGAACAGTTTCACTGGTCCCATTCCAGTGACTTTGGGCAAGCTATCGAAATTGCGCTTCCTGTGGGTATCTTATCCTGGACTTGGAAAAAGTATTATGAATATTTATTTACTTATCCTTCCGTTTTTGAAATTGCACGTGCTTATGCTTGTATTGTTTTGAGTGGTGTGATAATGGAGATGGGGAGAGGCACAATAACTGTACGAGTATAGAAATTTATGTGGCAACTATGAAGATGACTACTAAATATAATCAGCATTATATACTGTGGCCCTGAAGGGTGGTTCAATTGGTCAGGTCTTAGGTTTGCTCTCCAATGGTCACCAATTCGAGTCTCCTCAGGGTCACTGAGGTGAGTACCCGGCCGTAAACTTCAGGGCCCCGTGAAATTCGTCGAGGTGCGAGCAAGCTGGCCCGAACATCCACGGCCATCCAAAAAAAAAAAAAAGAGCATAATTTCCAATAAAATTTGAAAAGTAAAGATCATTATTAGATAATTCACACCACCAACGNTTATCTGTTTAGTGCTCTGACGCATTGGACCAAACATGTTACTCTGGTGTAACTCTTCTTGAAGCATGCTGGTAGTTTGATTGTTGTAACATTTGTTGGGTAATCATGAATCTCATTGTATACTATTTTGATGCCTTTGCAAGGATAGTCGGCTAAATAACAACAGCTTGACAGGAGCCATCCCCATGTCTTTGACTAATATCTCAACACTACAAGTGCTGTAAGTTTCTAAGTTTTTCTCTGTTTTTTGATAGTTCTAATTGCCACTTTGCTTTGCCTCTTCCCTCACTCAACTGTGCGTTAAATGTAATCACTTGAATTTCTTGTAAGAGCTTCTGATTGTTCAAATTGCATTCTTGTGCAGGGATCTGTCAAACAATCAACTTTTAGGTGCTGTTCCAGATAATGGCTCGTTTTCTCTATTCACCCCAATCAGGTTCTTGCTGATACATGCCATGGCTATATTTTTGAACAGAGAATATCATAATTTTAAATTAGTGGCTAACACAAGGGATCTTCCAATCCACAGTTTTGCGAATAACTTGGATCTATGTGGTCCAGTCACTGCACGTCCTTGCCCGGGATCTCCTCCATTCTCTCCACCCCCTCCATTTGTCCCACCACCCCCAATATCTTTGCCAGGTAATTGTCCTATTTAGTGGTGGCATAAGTAGCTGATTTTCTGTTAGCTTGTTTGATTGGTATATGCTTCTCAAATTATGAATCTTTACTGCTACAATTTGTCTTTTAACCTTAATTTGAAAATTTTGGCTGTTTGTACTATTCAGTGTAGTTTTCAAATTATGGAAGTAGTTCGTTTTGATTACACTTTCGTTTTATATCAACTTTTGAATTGGCTCTCATTGTATTTCGTAGAGGATATTAATTGGAATGTTATATAGAAATAATTAATGATGATATAAAATTATTATAGATTTCTTTCTAAATTTAGTAGCTGTAACTACAGGAGGAAATAGTGCGACTGGAGCCATTGCTGGTGGAGTTGCTGCTGGTGCTGCTCTTCTCTTTGCAGCCCCTGCCATTGCATTTGCATGGTGGCGTCGAAGGAAACCGCAGGAATATTTCTTTGATGTACCAGGTTAATAGTTTGACTTTACAAGTTCATTCAAATGGAAAGCTTAAGATTTTAGAGAGGGGACAACTTATTTATTTAAACTTATTCTTCAACATGCTACCTCACTTATAGGCCAGATTCATTTTTCATACATGCACATTTTCATAAATTGATTGCAACAAAACTTGATCATAGGCCTACTTTTTTTTTTTTCTCTGATACCATGTCGAACTATTTCATCTAAAAGCTTAAGTTGTAAGAGAGGGGACAACTTATTTAAATTTAATCTTAAACATATGATAACTCGTCTGTACCTTTTGCAGCTGAAGAGGACCCTGAAGTCCACTTGGGGCAACTTAAAAGGTTCTCTCTTCGAGAATTGCAAGTTGCTACGGATAGTTTTAGTAACAAAAACATTCTGGGAAGAGGTGGCTTTGGAAAGGTATACAAAGGACGATTAGCAGATGGTACACTGGTGGCTGTCAAAAGACTTAAGGAGGAGCGGACACCGGGTGGGGAGCTTCAATTTCAAACAGAAGTAGAGATGATCAGCATGGCGGTTCATCGTAATCTCCTTAGATTGCGTGGATTTTGCATGACTCCAACTGAACGGCTGCTTGTTTATCCATATATGGCTAATGGAAGCGTCGCATCATGTTTAAGAGGTAATTATTGTCAAGAATGCTGCTAGAAGTCTAATATATCAACTTTATTCCATTATTAGGACTACGAGCATGTTAGGATAAACTTGAAAAGTAGTAGAAGTTACTTTCAAGTAAAAAAATGTTACTTATTTAAAAAAAAAAACTCTCACCTTATTGCCAAATAGGAAACTAACTTATTTCCGATCAAAAAATTATTTTTTTAATACTTATTACTTACCAGTGAACCTTTTAAGCTTGGCCAACATGCTTCAAAATCTTTGTGTTTGCTTAAATGTCCTGATTACCCTTGCTTTTCCTTGTTTTAGTTATTTGATTCTTGCTTGATAGTTACAGCCTTGAGCCTTGAAGAGAAGATAGGCTTGGACTTTGAGATACACTAACTATAATCGTTTATATATGTAGAACGTCCACCAAATGAACCGCCACTTGATTGGACGACACGGAAGTGCATTGCTTTAGGATCTGCCAGAGGATTATCATATTTGCACGATCACTGTGATCCAAAGATTATTCATCGTGATGTGAAGGCTGCAAATATATTGCTTGATGAAGAGTTTGAGGCTGTTGTTGGAGATTTTGGTTTGGCTAAACTTATGGATTATAAGGATACACATGTTACTACTGCTGTGCGTGGAACCATTGGACACATAGCTCCCGAGTACTTGTCCACTGGAAAATCTTCTGAGAAAACAGATGTTTTTGGATATGGAATTATGCTTCTCGAGCTAATAACAGGGCAGAGAGCATTTGATCTAGCTCGCCTTGCAAATGATGATGATGTCATGCTACTTGATTGGGTATATAATCTTTTCCATATATCTTCATTATGAGCATGTTTGGCTAAGCTTAAAAAAGGTGAAAAGTTACTTTTAAGTAACTTTTTGATTTTTGAATAACTTCGTTTTTACTTATATAAGTGAACTTCTTAAGCCAAACAAGCAAGGGATATACATGATTTTGATTTTGTGTCTAGTGTCTACTAAATTAAAATTACAATGCACAGTTTTTTTTTTGTTATGCTGATCGTTTCAGCCAGTTTTTCCGATCTCCTAGTTCTAAAAAGACAGTCATATCTTCAGGTTCAATGGTCTCTTGTATTGTTGAAACACGTTTCCAGAGCTGCTTAGAGCATAAGTTTGTCTAAGCTTTAAAATAAGTACTATTTGTTTCCAAAATTGTTTACTTACCTTTAAAAATTATGTGACTTAGTGTGTGTTTGAGCCCCATTTTTTGTTGAAAATGCATTTTGTAATAGTGAATTTTTTAAGAATGTGTGGTTAGAAAACAAGAAAAATTTTTAGGTTTACGTGCAAAATACTTTATTGTGAAAATGTGATCGAAAATGAGTTTGAGAAAAAATGAGTTTTAAGATAATGCAGATCAAACAAGGAACAATTTCCAACTTTTGATCAATAAATTTTTTTTTTTTTCAAAGCAACTTCTGCATGCAAATTTGCTTGTAACTATACTCTTTTAAGATTATCCAAACATGCTTTTCTCCCTCATTTTATTGTATTTCTCTATTATGGCTATATTGGAAACTTTAAATAATTTTCCTTAAAAAGAGCTTGTGAAATCCTCGTTAATCAGTTTGGAAAGTGGGCTTTATGTATTTGTAGACTTTTCCTACCATCGAGTTGCTTAGCTTATTATACTTCGTGCTTCATGAATGTGTCAAGTTTTGCGATTTGAGATGGTCCAATTAAATAATAGTGACGCGACAATCCAATTTTATATTTTACCTTCTATTCAGGTGAAAGGGCTTCTAAAAGAGAAGAAATTGGAAATGCTGGTTGATCCTGATTTGCAGAAGAAATATGTGGAGGCAGAAGTCGAGCAGCTAATCCAGGTTGCTCTTCTATGTACACAGAGTTCCCCGATGGACCGGCCCAAGATGTCAGAAGTGGTGCGAATGCTAGAAGGCGATGGCTTGGCTGAGAAGTGGGATGAATGGCAAAAGGTGGAAGTTCTCCGTCAGGAGGTGGAACTAATTCCACATTCTAGTTCCGATTGGATTGTTGATTCCACCGAAAATTTACATGCCATTGAGTTATCCGGTCCAAGATGAAGATGACCTCAAGAAAAACGAGTCAAGAAAATTTTCTAAGTTTCTTCTTTCGCCTTTTCTTTTTCTATTAAGTTACTCAAACCCTGTTGTTAATTCTAACAAAATTAACACCATTCGAGTCTGCTGGGAACCCACGGCGAACTATACACAGTTATGTTTGTGCATATGATTTTGTAATGGCAGGCATGTTTACATGCAAATCATTGTGAAGTTGAATGCTAGCTCGGAAAGTTGTACAGTTAGATTTTGTGTTGTATGCTGCATTGTCATTTGGCATTTCCTAGATTAAGGCTATTGTTCTCATGTGCTGAGAAGACTACAGTTCCGTGTGAATCATTTATAGGTGATTTCGTGTAAATCTTGTCGTGCTGGGACAACGCAAGTCTCCCCGAAAGCCACGTGAGACCAGCACAGCAGGACTCAGTTATGTGTGCATATGGTTTTGTAATGTGAGGCATGTTTAGATACAAATCCTTGTGAAGTTGAATGCTAGCGCGGAAAGTTGTATAGTTAGATTTTGTGTTATATGCTGCATTTTCGATTGGCATTTCCTAGATTAAGGCTATTGATCTCATGTGCCGGGAAGACTACAGATCCGTGCGAATCATTTATAGGTGTAAATCTTGTCGTGCTGGAACAACACGTCATCCTGATAGGCGTGTGGGACCAGCAGGACCTGTCTAACGAGACATGTAGGGTCACCCTTACCAGGAAATTTTTGAAGGACTTACCTTCCAGTAAGGAGTTGCAGCAATGTTATTTGGGGTCAAAATTTGTCCTCCAATTCTTATTGATCTATGATCGTTTTTTCATATTTTCTCATCCAATTCTTCTTAAAAAATCATTAATTACACAAAATAAACTATCACCCCTTTATAAGCACTTCCAGATGTCCACTTTTAGTGGCTACGTAGGAACCATCTATCCAGAGAACATACAATTTTAAGATCCATGTCTCTGGTATCACTAGGGAGAGTATATACAATTTCTATTTTATTGTTTTGTACAAACAAAATAAATCTTATACGACCAAGAGACAATCAGGGAGCAAGCACTACAATTTGTATCTACATTCTACAGTTCTTCATTGTCATCCTTCTCCAGTTCAAGACCCTCTGCTGCCAGAAGCCAGCTAATAACCATTTTCTTCTCTTCTTCTGCTTTTCTTCGCATTAAATCCCTTTTCTTCAAGACAAGTGTATGTCGCCTTAAAGTTCTGTTGAAATTCTTCAAGGATGCCTTCTTTTCCTTCGCCAATATCTTCCTTTCTTCTTCGGGGTCAATCTGTTAGCATCGTAATAAGTATACTCAAGATGGTGAATTGTTACATCCCAGATGTTTATCAGTATAATTGGGTTAAAAACATTACTCAGTTAAAAATATAGAATTACTTCATTTTAGTATTCCTACCTTTTTTTTGTTCCAAACAAAGTCAATGAACTATCATTGTTGTTGCAGTTTAAGCATTTACTGACATGGCTAATAAAAAATATAATGTGGCATGAAAAATCTGTGAGTACATTTTTTAAAAACTGACTGGGCAAGAACACGTCTTGCTAGGAAAGAAGATAAATATTTTTCTTTTTGTACATTAGTTATCTTACAAGCCGTATCATATTTTCCTCTTAACCATGTTAGTACTTCCTTTAGGGCCTGCTTGGGAATTCCAACTTACCGACTATGAGCATTTTTTAAAGTACCGATTTTGAACGTTTATTAAGGGACAGATTATGAGTAGTTTTAGTAACATTTTTTAAAACAGTCCAACCCATATTTGGGAATTTATTATCCACCAGTTCTGAAAACTTAAAAAAAAAATAGTAAACTTACATATATCTCCCATTGTGAAATTTTGAGTTTATGATTTTTTGTATGAAATTTTTTACTTATAAGTGATTTTTTACATATAAGTTAATATTTATCTTAAAAAGTTAAATATTTAATTAAAGTTTGATGTTAGTATTTCTTAATTATATATAAACTTTATAATTCTAAGTTATTTTGTACTTCTAAATAATTTTTACACAAGCAATTTTTTAATTTCCTTAATAAGTAATTTTTTTGATTATATATAATTTTTTTATTTAGTTTATTTTTATTTATAAGTTAGTATTAAACAAAATATGTTTGTTGAAAATAATTATTTAATAAATGGTAAAATTAGAAGAAAATTAAAGAAACCGCAAAAAACTGCTAATTTGGAACCGGTCAAAATTACACTACACCGTTTTTGGGTAGTTTTTAAACCATCCTAAAACGTTGCCCAAAAATTCTAGCAAACACCAGTTCTTCCAACAATCCTCATAAACGGTGCCACTCAAAAACAGTGAAAATAAAACTCCCGAGCAGGCCCTTAATTCAACGGAAAAATTAAAATGAAATTTATGACCCCCAGTAAAAATGGATGGCTAAACCCGAACTGCATTGATTAAGGAAGAATATTAATTTCTGATTTAAGAATCTTTTACAGATGAACTTCGCACATAATAAACAACAGGATGCAATCCAATAATATCAAGAAAATGAATTAATACCTTTGAACGAGCAAGACGGCGTACATGGAGATTCAATTCACGCTGCTGCTGTTCAGCCCAAGTTGCAATTGCCATATCACCTCTTTGGTCAAATGCTTTGCGCTTTTTCATAATCCACTCCATCCATGCTTCAGATGCCTGGTAAAGAAAATAGATTAGGACTTGAGCGTTAAGATGAAAATAACGTCAAAATAAAAAGCAGGAAAAGAATAACTCTATTCCTCTGAAGGAGTTTTGTTGTTAAAAATGTATAAAATATCTTTCTGTATCTGTAATTGAAAAAGAGTACGATTTCATTCATCTAAATACAATCAACCAACGACACAAAGTGAAATCTTCCTCAAAATCATCAACACAGTAAGAAAAATTCTCATTTTAATATAAGCATAATCTTCTTAAGTTATTTAAAAAATAAAAAGTTGATAAGTAATTTCACGTATAATATATGCATAAAGAAATAAATTGAGAATAAGAGATTAAATATAAAAACTGGTCAAAACAGTATCAATAGTCATAATAACTCGAAGCATTATTATGACCAATAGATGAGATACTGTTGAGATTCATGTTTAGATTTTTGAAATTTCTATTTTGCCAGTTTGAGGAGTGTAGAACTCTGTAGTATTGTATTTTGATAAAGCTCAAGGACAAAGTACGTGTGTAAAAGAAACATATGTTCAACAATAGGATTAGACAAAAGACACTTAGCCCCTATTTGGTTCAACTAAAAAGATAGATCAACAATTAATTTTAACTACACATTTTAAGGGACCGGACCAACAACTTTTGAACCACACATTTTATCAACTTTTATCAAAATCTACTAAAAATCTGATTGTTATCCAAACCAAACAAGGGTTAATAAATTGCAACATGACTTCTTTATCTCCCAAAAATAGCAATGAAATGATAAAAATATAAAAGAACTCAAGATTTTCCAGAAGAAGACAAACATTAACCACACTCAATATGTAAAAAACATATATGCAATAACCTTTAAATAACGAACAATCAACTGGTAGAATGACAATCATTTTCACCTTCATTGGGTTCGCTCGATTGTCATTATCATATTTCTTTCGTTTTCCCTCATCTGTAAGAAGCTCATAAGCAGCCTGAATCTTTATAAACCGAGCTTCGGCTGTTTCTCCTTCATCTAAGGTCCCTCTGCCATTATAAACTTGAAATGGATACAGAAACACATTAGTTCCATGCCCAAAGGAACACAAATTTCAAGCTACAGTAAATTATATAAAATGCAGATTCAGAATTCAGGAATATGAATTAACAGATTCAGATGGGAATATGAATCTATCATTGGCAGAAAACGGTAACTATGCAGTCGTGCAGCACAGCAGCGGCGGAAGATGTGAGCATCAAACAGTGAGTGGCATTCTCCTCTACTCATCCTGATCGTTGTCTAAAGTATCTCCAGGGGCACTGATCCTGAGAGAGCAAGGCAACAAGAAGACCAAAAGGGAAGAGAATTAAGGGGTCATATGGAAGTGCAAGACCCAAGAAGGGGAAGGAAATCAAGCATGAGAAGGATAAAATTGAGGCCTCCAGGTCCACCCCTTAGCCTCCCGTCAAACTCGTAATTTTACACATAAATCGAAAACTTTTTCTTATTTCTTAACCACACATTCTCCAAAAAATTACTATTCCAAAATGGGTCTCAAACAAGGGCATAGTCTGAAATCCGTAAAAGGGCAACAAAGCATCTAAATTGGATTTTAAGTGGTTGTTTTGTTGGCGAAGGTTCAAAAATAGGAACACGAAAAAAAAATAATATAAACTCATGCTGGAGGTCCCAATTATGCACATAACCAAAACAAACACGAAATGAGTATTAGATTCATTTTAGCGCATCAATCCTGTTGTGTTTGGAAATAAATTATAACATATCTAAAACAAATTATAACATTTTCAACAATCTTGTGTTCTCGCTTAGCCCCTGTTTGAGCCCAATTTTCCTCGGTCATTTTCAACTACATATTCTTCAAATAAAATAATTTTGCATGTAAACTCAAAACTTTTCATTACTTTTTAACCATACATTCTCCAAAAATCACTATTACAAAACTCATTTTCACAACAAAATAGGGCTCAAACAGTGGCTTAATTTCATGATTTTTCCATCTTAGTTAAGCCACAATCCCCCTGACTTATTCCACCCTTGTCAACCAAAAAGTCAATAATTTCTTGAATTTTTCTAATATCCTCGTCGCGTGGAGCATATAAACATTTGTAGAATAAAATCCTTCACTAATAACTATTGGTGGAGTTGCACTTATCAGTGAAAATAACCACCCAAGATCTTTATTTTCGGCGACATATAGTTCAAACTTTTACCTATCCCATAGACATTGTGATTCCTTCAAAACAAATATTTTTGTCTTCATTTTAGAAAGAAATTTGAGTTTCTGAAACAAGAAAGTCCTTAGCATCCTATATGTATTTAGATTA